ATCACGCGACCGAGATTTCATTTAGATGAAAAAGCAAGCTCTGCGCTCTCGTTTACTGAGTCGATGTTTCTGAACACAGAGTGCTTGTCTTGAACAAGAACGCATTCATTGAATGACGATACGATGCGCCATTTCTATGCCGACGAGGCTTGGGGTAGAGGCCATCTCAACACAATTGATATTGTTAAGGTACAATTGATACTTTGAGAAACATGTAAACAAGTATGAAACTTTCGATTTATCATTATCTGAATTGTCGTTCAAGTAAATCACAGAAAATAAAATCATTCAACATCCGGATCAAAGATATCGGTTGAAATATGAGACGAAAGTAAAATACGATTAATTCGGTGAGAATTAAACGTATTACTGGCGAAAAATTGTCTGTGAAACGGTGAAACCAAATAAGACCAATATAATCATCACAGCAACGCAATACGATTAGTATTCATTTACTTGTGAAATAAGATGGCAATATCTATCACTCAATCACCCTGAAATAGTAAAAAAAAACACACACACACAAAATCGTTAAAGTTTCCATCCGTAGAATCACGTTACAAATACATATAAGTACAATATAAAGCAACACCGGATATATGTCTCAATAAGTTTAGCAAGTGGACACCGTCCCTGCGAGGGCGCGAACGTGGAGAGCAAAGGCGCTTTCCACCCGTTGACATACCATCACCTAACGGCAGCTTATTGGTATAAAATATTTACTCTGGAGATGTAGAAATAGATTCTGTGTTATCGCTTTTCATTTTTGTGCATGCTATAGTAGCATAACGATTTTTGTGTGATAAGTTTGCTTGAACAGTCCTTCCCCGCAGGACAGTGCAAGGGAACCACGAGGACGGATATGGGAAGATCACCAGATTTTTCGGTCCCGTTCTCCTTCTCCCAGGAGAATGAGACTGCTAAACCCATCTCCGTGTCAACCGTAGTTTTCTAGGTTAAAATCTTGTACTATTCACTCTACACATATGAATTACATATCACAAAATTCCAATATAAACGCACGCATTTCGTCAAGTGTTCTTATGTTGAAAGATCAGAATCCATCTAGAGTTGCTGATACCACTCAAGTATAATAAGTGTGATGAAAGTGATCTCAAAATTCGATATGGCTCAGCGAAATTCCGATTGCACTGTACAACGATTAGCGTATGACCAGTAAGCAATATGACATTTCATTCGGGATCACGACAACGAATTTGATTGGACTCACAGCTTCCGCAGGTTATATGACATTTCCTGATTTGGGTTTACAATAAAGAAGCGGAAGGCTGCAAATCCTCAATCGCGCGGTCAACAATGCAGAAATCAATGATTCGAAGTCGAAAAAAAATGTGAGACGAATCCAGCGTCCGCTTCAAAGTGTTGGAGCGTAGCATGTAAGAGTTTTCGAACTCCTCCAGCTCGGTTGCGACCTTCTGCTGAACGGCGAATCGTAGGTGAGAGCTGAAGAAAAATTTTTCGAAATTTTCGGAAGAATGCCCGCAAAATTTTGAATTAGTCAAAATGTTGATAGCCGATATGAATTAGATGAATGAGTGGGTAAAACTCTAACGGTCATAGGTTATCCACTCGAATAGTCTGCTCTGAGGTACAGATCCGCTTGATAACAAATACGACGTTTAATTCACATTCTAACACCATCATATTCATTTGTGAGCAAAATCATAGCATATTATTTACATTTTCGGGGAGTGGACACATTTCAGTCTTATATGGAAATAACTGAATATTGCTCTGTGTACATAAGAAAAATGTTCTGTTTCAGAATNTAAATATTTACTTATTGTTAGAAATGCGATGGAAGATGAGACTATAAACACTAATGAAATATAAATGATAACAGGTGAGGTGAAGTATGATGTCGTGAAGAACAAAAAAAGATTTTAAAATGCCACTGAATAAAAGAAAAACGAACCTTTCAAAGAAGCTAATGGTGAGTTGTTGTTGTTGTTGTTGCTGGCAATACTGATATGATTGTTCTCGTTGTTATTAGCATTATTATTCACATTATTCAGAGTGCTTCTGCTGATATCATATCGATTGCCATAGCAACTGCGAACAGCACTTAGGTCGTTGAGTTTTTGTGGTGATGGCGAATTACTAGTGAATTGTCGATATGTTTCTGAAATTAATCCCGACATCGAAATCGTCTGGAGGGTT